CCCGCAGCCTATGCCAGGCTAGAGAGAGGGGCAGAGAACGCCACCGCAGCCAGAGCAGGCGGCATGTGACCTCTTGCAGGACGGTGTGCTTTTATATCCGCGAGGGCCCGAGCGATGTGGGGAGCAGACGGCCCAGCTGTGGCCCCGAGTTTAATTACAGCCGCAGAGAGCGGGGTGAGGCCCTCGCACGCACGCCTGCTGTCGCTCCAGTAACGAGGTCCACGCACACAATAACTGCCGGGCCGTTCTGCTTCCAGGGCTCGGCCTTCTGCCTCCCCAGACGCCCTGAACAGAAGCGAAGGATGAGGATGGAGCCGCGGGGCCTCCCCCAGGCCAGACCCCATCGTCCTGGGGGGGTCCCAGGGCTGCTGAGCACCCAGGGACCAGCCTCTGAGGCTGTGGGGGGCCCCGGCCTCACTGAGGGACGAAGCTCTCTCCCAGTTCCTCACAGGACCAGCTCGCTCTGCACAGGGGCTGTGAAGGGACAGCTGTGCGGGAAGGACACTTGCTGCAGAGCCCACTGCAAAGGCAAGGGGACTGGGGCTCAATTCTGCACCTGGAGGTGGGGCAAGGCGGCCTCCCAGGACCTTCTGACTGTGGGTGCCCCAAGGTCAACAGCAGTCCACTTGCTGACTCAGGCCCAGGGAAGAGCAGACGGTGACCTCAGGGAGTGGTCTCAGGGTCAGACCAGGCTTGCTTCAGACTGAGCGCCAAGAACAGTGGGGACTGGCCTCAGGGTCTGTCTGGTGACAGGCCAGCCTCCGAGGGCAAAGCACATCCTGGGAGAAGTTCAAAGATGAAGGCCACCGACCACACAGTCCAGGGACCCGGGGAAGATGGTGGTGGTGGTGGTGATGGTGGTGGTGATGCTGGAGAAGGTGGTGGCAGTGATGGTGATGGTGACAATGATGGTGGTGGTGGTGACAGTGACGGTGACGGTGGTGGTGGTGAAGATGGTAATGGTGACAGTGATGGTGGTGGTGCTGGTGATGGTGAAGGTGGTGGCAGTGATGGTGATGGTGGTGGTGACACTGATGGTGATGGTGGTAAAGGTTGTGCTGGTGATGGTGACAGTGACAGTGATGGTGACAGTGGTGTTGATGACAGTGACAGTGATGGAGGTGGCAATGCTGGTGAAAGTGGTGACAATAAAACACATATGGAGATTACTGGGCTACATGACACCCCTCACAGTAGTTTTATAACCCTCCCTGACATCTGAGGACACTGAGGCCACAATGACACACAGTCACAACTTGTAAGTGACAATCTGTCCTCTAGATGGCTCTGAGTTTGTGTGGCATCTGAGTTTGGTGCGAGTGCGCACAGCCGCTCCAGCCTAACACTCTGGGTTCAGGGCTGTCCCGTCCCCTGTCGTCCCTGCACTACCAGGCCAGAGCCAGCTCCCCCCAGCTCAGTGCACCCAGGACAGGGACCCCACATACAGACCACGCCCGCACTGCCCCGTCCCCGTCCCCATCCCCATCCCTGTCCCAGGCAAGAGGGGGAGGGGACGAGGGTATGAGGTGACATCACCAGGGAAGACACAGGCTGGAATGATGACTCTGCTTCAGATACCAGGGACGGGGGGCGGGAAACTGAGGTCAAGATGCACAGCCCGTGAGGCCCCTGAGACCCCATAAGGAGGCGGTCAGGAGTCCTAGGAGGGAAAGTGGGCAGCTGCGGGAGCCAGCCTTTCCCACCACCACCTGCACCATCTTCTTTTAAATCAAAGGGAATAATTAAGCCTAATCTAGCTGGGCTGGTGACTGACACCTGTAATCCCAGCTACTCAGGAGGCAGAGATCAGGAGGATCGCAGTTCGAAGCCAGCCCAGGCAAGAAGCTCGAGACCCTATCTCAAAAAAACCAACCCAAAACGGGGCTGGCAGAGTGGCTGAAGCAGTAGAGTCCTGCTTTGCAAGTGTGAGGCCCTGAGTTCAAACCCTAGTCTTGCCAAAAAAAAAAAAGTGTAATCTTTATCCTTTTATTATTGTTATTGTTATTTTGGTGGGACTGGGATTTGAACTCTACACTTGCAAAGGAGGCGCTCTACTACTTGAGTCACAGCTCCAGTCCCTTTTGCTCTGGTTATTTTGGAGATGGGGTTGCCCGGGCTGGCCTCAAACTGCAATCCTCCCAATCTCAGCCTCCCAAGTAGCTGGGATTACAGATCTGAGCCACTGGTGCCCAACTGTCTTTACCCTTTCCTAAACTTTTAAAGAATCTCTGCTACAACCTAAGGGGACACCATTACAAATTGACAAGGGTGGAGACTGGAGGAGTGGCTCAAATGGCAGAGCATCTGCCAGCAAGTTCTGAGTTCAAATCCCAGTGCCCCCCCACCCAAAAAAAGGGAAAAAAAAATCAACTGGCACAAAGTGAAAATGCACTTGTGTCGAGCCTGAATTCAGAGAGCATATCTAGGCAAGGCTGTGTGCCCACCCCACAGTGGATCCCCGTGCCACCCCATCCTGCCCACGTGGGTCAGGACGCAGAGTGGCCTCAGGCAGCCCCGAGGGCAGGGCTCGACGCCCACAGACTTAGAAGGAGCCTCACGATGGCCAAACCACAGCCGAGCAAGGCTGCGGGCCGAGGAGACACCACAAGACTGGTGCGGAGACGCCCGGCCCGCCCACTCCCCTCTGGAGCCGTTTCCTGAGGCTGCGGCCAGAGAAGGGGCCCAGCGTGTGACATGGACAGTGAGTTTCCTCTGTGCAAAAAAACAGACCCGAGACACACGCCCTTGCGAGCGCTTCCTTTCCAGGCCGGCGTGCAGACAGGGCCTGTCATCCACACACATCTGCTTCCTCCGTTTCTTGTCCCCTGGCTCCGAAACCCACAATTCTAGGGTGTCCTCAGTGACCTGCCTCAGCTACAAATGACTGGCTACAGTCACGTGAGCGGGGCTCGGCACTGGGGAGGTTTGGGTTGGTGGGAACCAGCTGGGTGCCCACAAGGCCTTGGCATAAAAGAGTGGGCTAGCAGGACCTGACAGATCCAGGCCCAGGCATCCGATGCTGCTTCTCTGGGGACTTGAAATTGCACTAAGAATGGAGGCTGCAGAAAGCCAAGTGTGGCGGTGCATGCCTGTGATCCCCACGTCTGGGAGCCTGAAGTAGGATCACAAGTTCAAGGCCAACCTGGCCTGTGTGACTATGCAGAGTGAGATGCTGTCTTAAAAAAAAAACAAACAAGAATGCACTGTTAGTCTGTGTGGCCATCAGCCATAGAGCAGGTGACCACCCACCCAAGCCGAAGCACAGAAACTGTCTACAGAGGGGCTGCAGAGGTGCCCAGGGAGACCTGGCCAGGGCGGAGCAAAGATCCTGGGCAGCCCCCAGAGAGGCCTCTCGCTCCTTCTGACATTTCAACCATCTGAATGCACCACTCATTCAAAATCTAGACTTAAATTACATCGAAAATGGATGTTTGGATTCCAGTTCAGAGAAATGTAACACTTCAGTCACCTGGTTCCCCGATGACCAGGGCTACGTGACAAAAACTACGTGAAGTCTTCAATTCTTGTGATGGACGGGGTCCTGAAACAGCGGCGTGTTCTCTGAGTGGTTCGGAGGGTGGGAAGGCATATCCAGAATCGGAGGTGAAGTGTGGCTCCTTCCTGCCTCTCCCTGGTTCTGGTGACCCCACGCACCCTGGGCTGGTGGCCTTGGCTCCGGTGTCCACCTCTGTGGTCATGCAGCCTCCTCTCCTTCTGTGCGTATCAAATCTCCCTCCTCTCACAGGGACACCCGTGGTGACAGTGAGAAATTTCAGGGTCATCTCTGCTCACATCCTCACCTTAGTCACGTCTGCAAAGTCCTTTGGGACAATCCCTGACTCCAGGGATTGGGTCGTGGGTATCCTGGAGGGGACGGGGGACCTTATCCCCGCCTGTCACTCCATGAGGCCCAGACATCTTCCAGGATGGGTCATCACCAGTGACCCATGTTGGTGGCCCTGGCTGAAAACATCTTTTCAATGTGAGCCTGAGTCCTTGTCCACACGCAGGACACTGCAGGGCTCAGGAGCTCCAAGGAGGCTGAGCAACCATGACCAAACGTCCAGTCTTCCCGGTGACCAGAGAACTGTCACCAAGGATGAGAATGCCACTGTCCAGTGATATCGGGTTATGGGGGGGGGTCACCCCGGCTGGACCCACACAGGCTCCACCACCAGATGTGCGGTGAGCACCAGCCACGCATCGGTTCTTCCCAACACTGGGGTGACAGAGAGAGCTGGTGACGGTGTCACATACGTGACAAGAACACGCCCCCTCCCGCCACCATCACTGTGACTGTGGGAGCAGCAGCTGTCCTCTTGGGGACCCTGGGCCAGAGAGGCCAGCACAGGCGGAGGGCGAGGCGGGGTCCTCCGAGTATGAGCGGCCAGAAGCCTCGGCCCCAAACCTCGCACTCAGCACCAGCCCAGGCTTCTGGGCCCAGCAGCTCCTGCTGGTCCTGGAAACGTGGTGGCATCAGGAATGAGAAACCTGTCACCAGACCTAATCTTTATCTTACATATTCTTTGTCATTGGAATTTTTTTCTGACCCTGGGGTTTGAACTTACGACCTCACCTTGCTGAGAAGGTGCTCCCTTTTGCTTTTAGTTTGTGTTCAGATGGGGTCTCACACTAAGTCTGCATAGGCCACTGTCCTCCTACCTCCTCCTCCTGAGCAGCTGACATTACAGACACACACCACCACACGCGGCGCGGCCTGTTAGTTGACACAGGGTCTCAATGCCTTTTTTGCTCAGGGTGGCCTCAACTGCAATCCCACTGCCTCTGCCTCCCGAGTAGCTGGGATTACAGCTGTGCACCACCACACCCAGCCCCATTATTTGGATTTTGTATAGGATTGTTCACAGAATGTGCTCAGTTGAGCTAGTGGCAAATTAGAATTTGCCAAAAGTGTTTCAAAAAGAGAAACAGATTTTAAAGCATGTCCTTTGATCTGCAAGGAGGCATATATAGGACAAAGGGACAAGGCTGGTGGAGCGGCTCAAGCAGCAGAGCATCTGCCTAGCACGTGAGAGGCCCTGAGTTCAAACCCCAGCGCCACGCGCACAGAAAAAGCCTCTGTTCGTGATGACTGACGGACGTGCTCAGGACACACCCAGCGTGACAAATGAGCACAGAGCAGAGTCCGTCTGAGGAAATGCATGGAGTCGAGACTGGGCTGTGAACGAAGTGCTCAAGGGTGTCCCCAGTGTACCTCAGGTATTTTGCTGTGGCCTGGACGCCTTCTGGGCCGGGCTGTCACCACAGACCTCCCATGTTGGTGGCCCTGGCTGAAGGTACCTTTTAAATCTAAGCCCAAACCTTTGTCCCCACACAGGTCACCACCGGGCTCAGGAGCTTCCCAGGAGGCCAAGCAACCCTGACACAACGTATTCCCGGTGACCAGGGAACTGTCACCAAGGCTGGTAACACCACTGCCCAGTGACTTCGGGGCATGAGAGAGTCCCCCAGCCACATTTCTACTTTTTGCTTTATCCAAATCTCCTGATTTTTCCCGCTACCAACAGGGTCGACTTCCCAAGCATGCATCTGAACCCTCCGAGGCTCACAGGCTCCCAAGTGGCATGGACGGCCGCCCAGTGGCCGAGATCCCACGTCCCTGCCAGGCTGCTGGACACAGGAGGCTCTGCCTGTCCCCGTGAGGGCAGGGTGGGTCCTGGTGTGACCAGGGCAAAAGGAAGCACCATGCGTCTTTATGTGACAAGGTCCAGCGTGTCACAAGGAGACCCAGTGTTACAGGAGCCACCCTGCCTCGTGACCCCTGACCCTAGGTCACCCCGAGGCCAGGAGAGGGTCACCTGCCTACCTTCTCTCGTTGTCATCGAGGTGTGCAAAGAGCACATTCTTGGAGATGGCTTTGGCCAGCGCTGTCATGGTCTTGTAGTCTTTGGGGATGACCTGTGGGGATATCAAAGGACATCAGATGTGTCCCTGAGGGCACAGGGCCAGGCTCACTTCCCCAACTGCTGCTCCACCCTGGGGACCCCAGGGACCCCGGGGACCATGACACAACTTAACTCAAACAATTCTGTCTTCAATGTGGCACTGGGTTTACATGTGGCTAAAAAGACCCAGGATGAAAGGTCAAGGTTGGTTTATTTTAATTTTAAGAAATAAATAAAAGACAAAGACCCTGGAGTGACCTGAAACGCAGTTTGGGGACCGTTCTGCAGTGTGGAGTCACTGTTGCCTGGATCTGTGGGAATTCAGAACCACTTAGAAAGTATGGAATAACCCTGTGGCTACTTTTGTTTCTTTTAGCAGCACTGGGATTTGAACTCGGGGCCTTGTACTCACCAAGCAGGAGTTCTACCACTTGGGCCAGGCCCCAGCCCTTTCGTTTTAGTTATTTTTCAGATAGGATCATGCTTTTTGCCTGGTGCCAGCCTTGAACCTGATCCTCCAACCTATGCTTCCCAAGAACTGGCATTACAGGCACGTGCCACCATGCCCAGCTCGTCTGTGGAGATGTAGTCTCGCCAATTTTTTTGCCTGGGCTGACCTTGAACCATATCCTCCTACCCCAGCTTCCCCAGTAGCTGGAATTGCAGGTGTGCACCACCACACCCAGCCTGCTTTTCTCTTCTTGATTTCTTTATTTCACTGGATTTTTTAAAAGGTAATAAGCAGCTGCTTAAAAAATCTGAAACCTGTGCATGGTGGTGCACACCTGTAATCCCAGCTAGGTGGGAGGCACGGGTGGAAACGCCCAGGTCCAAGACTGGCCCTTGGGCATAAAGGCAAGGCCCTGATCCCAAAAATAACTAGTGCAAAAAAAAGGGCTGGGGCTGGGCTGAGGCTCAAGTGGTAGAGCCTAGAAAGCACAAGACCCTGAGTTCAAATCCCAGAACCACCAAGAAAAGAAAAAGAGAAAAGAAAAACCACATCCGCCTTGAGTCCTCCTTGGGATTTGGCTCAAGTGGTAGAGCTCCTGCCTAGCAAGGGTGAGGCCCTGAGTTTAAATCCTGGTACCACAAAAAAAAAAAAAAAAAGACTTCAAATCCTGGCACTGCAAAATGGTAGAGGTGATGGAGGTGATGGCTGGACCCCACTGTGAGCTCGGCTGGGGGACTACGTACCCCAGTCTGGATGGAGCCCCCCAAGCTCCTATGGGGGCGTGAAGCACAGCTGGGGGGGGTCTGTGAGGCCCCAGGGCGGAAGGTCTGGGGTCGGTGTCCTCAGAGGACACCGCCCGTCCAAGCCCTGCCGGCCGTCTTCCCTCCCCGAGGCCTTTGGCTCCTACCCCAGCAGCAGCCCTGCACGGCAGCGCTCGCTCACACTGCGGAGGCCGCTGACCGTCGCCCCTGACCCGCCTCCCGGCTCCCATGGCTGCAGCCCCAGCATGACGGCAGCCAGGGCCCCGCGGGTCCCACGACCACCTGTGGCATCCCGTGACACCAGATGAGCACAAGGAGGCTGGGGTGCGCATGGGGTCCCTCCCTGCCCCACCTTGCGCACGTAGGACACAGCGTCCTCCTCCGTGTAGACCTCAGCACTCACGCCCCCCCGGCGGCGCCGAGCCTTCACCACGGGGTTGGGGGGCGTTGGTGACACCTCCTCGTCGTGGGAGTCAGACTGCGAGTTCGACTTCTGCCGGGCCAGGATCTGCCTGCTTTCCTCCTGCGGAGGAGGAGGACAGAAAGTGGTCATCAGGGTGGTGCGTGTCTAAGGTGTGACCCCGCGGAAGGCCTGTGATTGGTGCAGACGGGTCCTTCATTTGCATGAAGAGCCAAGCTCGGGAGTCAGCTCAGCTGGGCTGCCTCACCCGGCTCCCGCCACGCTGGCCGCCTCGCAGGCTCCACTCCTGCCCCAGGTTCTTTGCACTTGCTGCTCTGGCTGCCCAGCATGCCCAGATCTCCCACAAGTCCCTGTCTGTGCTCAGTGACGCCTTCAACCACCTACTTAAAACTGCAGTGCCCACTGTCCAGTGTCCCGTCCCCCCCCAGGATCATGTGCACCTGGAGCTCAGGATGGGACTCCAACTAGAAACAGTTTCTGCAGATTGTGACTAAGGGAGGGATGAGACGAGGGTGCAGAGGCACGGAAGGGGCCTACCTCCACTGACACCAAGAAAGGGGACACAAAGATAAAAGGGGGACACAAAGATAAAAGGAAGACACCACGTGAAGGTAGAGGCGCGGAGTGATAAGGAAGAAAGGGGCAGGGAAGTGTACTCTCCTGCAGCCATGGAAGAAATGCAACCTCCAGAAGCTTCCCCTACTGTCCCCGGCAACTGTGCAAGCTTAAATTTATGTGGTCTCAGGTCCCCAAGGAGACCTCACAAAACTCACATCTGAGATTCGGAAAACGAGCGTGGGGTGAAACCAGAGACCAGATGGGGAGCCCAGCAGAAGGCCTGTGATTGGCACAAGCACAATCCTTCATTTGCATAAAGGGCTATGCTATAGAATACAGTTGCATAAAGTGCTGTGCTATGATTGGTGCAAAGATAACCCTTCATTTGCATAAAGGGCTGTGCCATAACTGCTACAAGCACAATCCTCCATTTGCATAAAATGCTATGCTATGATTGGTGCAACATAATCATCCGTTTGCATAAAGGCCTGTGCCATGATTGGTGCAAAGATAACACTTGATTTACATGAAGTACTGTGCTAGGATTGGCACAAACACAATCCTTAGTTTGCATGAAGGGCTGTGCTCTGGTTGGCACAACCACGGGCCCCACACTCCCATTCTGGAAGAACAGGGGCCTGAGAGGCTGGTTTCTACTCGAGGTCATGCAGAGCTGTTCTGCTCGGCACAGGCCCCATCCTGCCCTCAGCAGAGGAGCCCCAGATGCTGGAGCCACTTGCCCTGAGCCCCGGTCCTCTGGAGACCAGAGGAGAGGCAGCCATGTGAGTCCCAAAAACATGGCCTGTGGGATCCCTTCTCACCCCTCCTCCCCCAACCCTCTGAGTCTCTCAGCTGTCTGGACACCCCAGCCTTGGGCCTCCCTGCACCTTTCATAGCCCTTACCCCCCAGTGGACATGTCCACTCTGCCACAAGCTGGGAGAACAGAATTACCTTTCCTTAAAGAAAGCTACAGCCAGATACAGTGGCTCGTACCTATAATCCCAGCCACTCGGGAGGCTGAAATCTGGGGTATCAGCCCAGGCAAATAGTTTATGAGACCCCATGTCCACTATAACCAGAACAAAATGGACTGGAGGAGCGGCTCGCTTTGCAAGTGCGAAGCCCTGAGTTCAAATCCCAGCCCCACACTAAAAAAAGTTATAATTGTGCCATGAAGCTGGTTTCACTTCCCCATTTTCGGTTATGCTTGGTTCACTGCAGACTGACAACTTTAAATGGAAAAATCCAGAAATACACAATTCTTTAGGTGGCGTGCCCTTCTGAGCAGTGTGACGGAGTCTTGTCCAGGCATGGGCTCAAGGACCCTGCTTCACCGGTCAGGGGGATAGGGGCACTTCAGAGTTGAGTGGCCACCTCCCCACCAATGTCACCAATGCTTCCAGGTCCTGGGGTCCTGGGGAGTCATGCTTCAATGCCAGGTGAGGCCAAGACTGGCAATACCGGTCCTGAGTGCAAATCTCCTGTGTTGACTTAAAACTGCCCTTTTAAACAAGCTGTTTATTTATTCATTGTTTATTCATGTCACTTGGTCAGGTGTGAGGACCCAGGCTGCACAGGCAGAGGGAGGGAGCCAGGCTGGTCATCAAGACCCCTCCTCACCCCGCTGGCTCTGTGGTCCGCAGCCTTCCGACTCCTAGGCCTCCTGGGGCATATGTAGCTGTCACCCGGCCCTGATCACACTGCGGACACAGAGCAGGAGCCAACCTTGGTCCTGTAGGGAGGGGTGATGGCGCCTCACAGGCCTGGCAGTGGTCAGCTGCCCCTGACCAGCGCTATCCTAAGCCAAGAGGGACAGCTGACAACTATCTGCCAGCTGCTCCCTGGGCAAAGGACCCGACCCAACAACAGGGCCATCGAGCAGAGGGTTTGGCACAGTCCTCGCCCACCCACCATGCCACCTCCCCTGCGTCCTGCACCCTCCGACACCAGCCAGGAAATCGCTGTCAACCCGAGGACCCTCCATGTGGCTCTGGGTTTAAAATCTCTCTTATGAGCCAGCACCAGTGGCTCACGCCTGTAATCCCAGCTACTCAGAGGGCCGAGACCAGGAGGATCAAGGTTCAGAGCCAGCCCGGGCAAATAGTTCACGCAACCCCATCTCAAAAAAACCCATCACAAAAATGGGCTGGTGGAGTAGCTCAAGGTGTAGGCCCTGAGTTCAAATCCCAGCACTGCCAAAAAAAAAAAGAAAAAGAAAAAAGGGGGACGACACTGTGGCTGGGGGAGGAGAGCTTACCCTGCGTGCCGCGTCCCCAGCACTGACGCAAAAATAAAACAGGATAAACCAGACATGAGGGTTCTTGAGGAAACAAACCTCAATTTCTATGATGGTAACGAGTATTGTGGTGGTGGATTTTTTGTGGGTTTTTGTTTTGTTTTTGTTTTTGTTTTGCAGAGCTGGGTGGAGGCCAGGGCCTTGGGCCCGCTGGGCAAGTGCCATCCCCACGCTGTCCCCTGAGCCACGGGCCAGGCCCAGTGCCCTTAGTGCCCCGTGATCCTGGGTCAGAATCTTCAAGGGAATAAAAGATGGGATTGGGATTGGGATCGTCGGCACAAGACCGAAAGAAGAAGAAAAAGCAAAAAGGAAGCCAAATGGAAATTCTAGACCCGAAAAACACAACAGTTGGAGCTGAGAACTTGGGATGGGTGTAGCAGCTGAGGGAATTAACAACCCAGAGAACAAGTCAGGAGAAAATGCCAAGCGTGAAGTTCAAAGGCACAACAGGGAAAATCTGCAGGAGGGGGAGAGGGCTGGAGGTGCTGAGGGAGAGCAACATATCCTTCCTGCACCACGCCGGGCGCGGTGGCTGACCCCTGTAATCCCAGCTACTCAGGAGGAGGCAGAGATCAGGAAGACCGAGGTTTGAGATTAGGCAAATTGTTCCAAAATAACCAGAGCAAGATGGACTGGAGGCCTGGCTCACTCAATACACAGCAAGCCCAGGAATGGCCCCCCGCCCGGTGCACACTGGGGAGACGGCTCTAGGGGAAGGACCAGCATTCATCAGGCACAAGGAGGCTGAGGCCCACGGATGGACGTCCAGAAACACGACGACCGACAGGGACAGCACAGCTGTGGGAGAACCGGCTCAGCAACATCGACAGCAAATTGACCCACGGCTCCTTGTCCCTGTCCCCCAGGTAGAAAATGGAGATGGATTGCAGCCCAGTGACGTGACTGTGCAGACCAAGGCAAAACCCACCCAGGCACAGGCAGCAACTCCTGCACCAGAGGGTCACCGAGCCTGTAATCCCAGCTACTCAGGAGGCAGCCATCAGGAGGATCGCAATCTGAGGCCAGCCCGGGCAAAAGTTAGTGTGAACCCATCTCAACAAGCAAGCCAGGTGCAGTAGCTCACACTTATAACCCCAGCTACTTGGGGCCCCAGGAGGGACAGCAGCAGCCACCGAGCCTTACCGGGGGACTCATTTGTGCACACGGCCTTCCTGGACAGACGGTGCCTCTGGTGACACAAGGCACATGGCTCTCCCAGGTCTCTTGGGGGATGCTGCACAGGAGGCTTTATGGTCAGAGCCCCGGGTGCAGGTCCAGGGAGGGCAGGGCAGGCTCTGTTGCCACGACAACGGCCACCTCACAATCCTGACTTGAGCACACCCCGCCCCTGCCCCCCCAGCCACAAAGTCACTTTATCTTCAGCCCCACCTCCTCAGGAGACGGTGACAGCGCCGACGCTGCTGCGTATCTGCCTGTTGTTATTTATTTACTTGGTGGGACTGGGGTTTGAACTCAGAGCCTCGTACTTGCTAGGCAGGTGCTCTACCACTTCAGCCACTCCGCCAGCCCTGTTTTGGTTGGGTATTTTTGAGATGGGGTCTTGCTTGGGAGGCCTGGGCGGAGATCCTGTGCAGCTGGAGTGACAGGCATGCCTCACCACACCCAGCTTACTGATTGAGATGGGGTTTCCTGAACTTTTTTGCCTTGGACTGGCTTCAAACCTTGATCCTCCTGCTCTCCGCCTCTGGAGTAGCTGGGATTACAGATGTGAGCCACCATGACTGGCCCTTTTCTTTTTGAGACAGGGTCTCTGTGTGTAGCCCAGGCTGTAGCCTGGGACTGGGACTTGCAACTCCAGCCTCCCAAGTGCTGGCCACCACTATGCTGTGCGAAGCTGTAGGTCAGAGGCCCACTTTCATGGATCCATCACACACATGGGTCTTTCCTACCCAAATGGAGACGTGAAGCACCCACCATGTTAAGTACCCAACTCGGTGCCATCAAACACATTCAGGGTTGTGCAGCCATCACTTCAGGCAGCTGTCACTCCCATCCCCCGACTGCCTCCTGACTGGGTTTGGCTGGTTCTGGATGTCACATGAATGGACTTTCACAGACGTGGTCTTTTCTCGCCCAGTTTCATGTATCCAGGGTTCCTCTGTGCCACAGTGCTTTCGGTTCGCTCCTTTTCGTGGCTGAGTAATATTCCATGGAGGAATGGACCACGCTGTCCATCTGTCCGTCCACTGATGCACACGGGTGTCTTCACCTTTGGCTATCGTGGGT